GGCCTAAGCCCTTATAGTACTTGACAAAGCTCCAGAGCTTATCTACTACTTCTTTGCTTGGTAGTACTTGTGTTTTATCAAGGGACTTCACTTACAAGGGTTCAAATCTTTTTCAGCTCTTTTCAGTTACAACCAAGCATGTAGTGAATAGCCTCCCTAGTTATCCAAAATAGAGTTTTGTTATATTTAATATAATAACTATATAGTTTTCATAGATCAGACTTTTTGAAAAAAAGTTGGTGTAAGGGATCGTCAGAAAGAGTTAATCTATATATCATTTATTAAAAATATTAATTGTAGCCTTTTTAAACAGGTTATTAGCAGGAATTTTTTTAATTATAACTTTTAATTTTACAAGATTAATGAAACAATTAGCTAAATTAGCTGACTATGATTCTAATGTATTGATTACTTTCTTAATAGAATAAAATATTATATTTATATGATGACAAGAACTAAAAAAAGTTTTCTCTTTATCTTTTAATAATTTATAAACTATAACATTAGTTATGCTATTGAAATTTTCTTTTAAAATTTTATCTAATATTGGTTTAACTCATATTAAAGAATCTGTAGTATTAAATACTAATGCCTATCTTGTTTTAGTAAATAATTCTAAATTTTCATTTCAAATTTTCATATCTTTTATTCCATCCCAAAGTAATCAACTTGCAATATGAGATTTTTTAAAAAAATTTATAATTATACTTGCATTTGATAATGTTGATTTAATTGATAGAATTTCAACAAGATCACTTGAGATTAAATTGAACCAGTGAGCAATACACCAAAGATTTATAATTTGTAAGTATATATCATTAGTTATTTGTTTTGCTACTTGAAGATTTGAACCATTATCAGTTACTATAGCTGAAAATTTTAAAGATCCTACTTTTTCAATGATAGTACTGATTTTATTAGCAATATAGATACCTGTTTTTTTTTTTTTTTTTTAAATATTAAGGTAAGTATTTGCAATCCAGGATTTTATTGATAGTACATTCAGCTAATGGTTGCATTACAACCACAGGGGGCAACCATGGAAAGAGTGTAC